TGACTAGATACAGTTAAAGTTAGATAGTTAAATAATAAGAATAAAAGTTTGAGACAGAGTGAATGGAAGAGAAACTTAAGTCAATATTCTAGATGAAATAATGATAAAGTGGATGTCAGAGAAATAAATGTGCAATGAATAAAAATTGGGTTATAATTTAAAGTATTTGGAATGTGAAAGAATACGAGAAATATTTCATTTGTATAAATATGAGGAGGAAATGTAAAAAGTTAGTAAGTTGTAAGTAAGTAGTGTTAATGATTAATACATGAATATTAAAACGCAATTAAAAAATATGAATAGATATCAACAATTTAAAAGAAAAAAATATAAATAGTCGGAAAAGAAAATTGTTAAAAGTAATAATTTTAGAAATTTAAAATCAGAAAGTAAATATATTGTTCAGAGTTTATTTAGGAAATATACGCGGTAAACAATAAATTTGGGGGATTTAGTAAAACAAAAAATTATATGACGTTAGATTCTTCAGTTATCAAAATTGGAAGATGTTGATGATAATGATTATTGTTATGAATAAGTCAAGCTTGTTGAATGGTATAAAAGCTTGTTGAAAATGTTGTCAGGGATATGGATTAAGTTGGGAATTTTTTGAAGTGTCAGAGAGTAGTAAAATTTCTACAGGGTACAAATGGTCAATAAGTTAAAGAAATGAGTTTGAATTATCGATAATAAAAGTTATAAAAGAAGAATTTAAATAAACATATATATTTCCATTGTAAATTAAATTAAATTTTTGAAAAATAATTTAGAAAAGATGAGAAAATATACAGGTAGCAACCAATTAGCAGATAAGCGCGTACAAGTAGAGAAGGGGATACCACGGGAATCCAGTAGGAAAGGAGAAAGGAGAAGACCAAGAAAGGGAGACAGTAATAGAAAATCAAAGAGGCCGAAGCGGTACATCGTATCCAGAGAGAGAGTGGATAACATTATTTATTCTGATACTATTAAAATTTTTGTATATTTCTTTTTTAGACCCCGAACGTACAAAGAAATATAGAGTGTCATTAGTTTATTGTGATTTGACATTTATAAACAGTAAATTTAACATTTCCACATTATTTTACAAGGTGTCCATAAATTTCGTATGCCTGGGGCTACACCACAGATTTATGGTGTCGAAAAATATTGTTTTAAGCAAACTTACATATGTACCAACTTGCTTTATTTGGCCGCCAGAGGTCAACAAAGTTTAGTAAAAATATCTGTTTTTCTCTTTAATCTTCAAAATTCAGCCATTTTAAAAGTTTAAACGAGTACGAATACTCGGTGTTTTATAGCCAATTAAAAGCAGCAAAAACAATTTTTCTATTGCGATCACAAGGCCGTAGTGGGAGGGCAACGAACATCTGTATCTTTCTGACATTTCTGGCATTAAAAAAAGAAACGAGTTTACTCAAAAGAGTTACTCTTGTTCGAAGTCGTACCCATTTCAAATAATGAAAGTTTCGGTCCTTCAACACCTAAAGATTTTTACAGGCAAAGTTATGTATGCCGCATATAAAAATTATTATCATTTCATTTATATCATATCTCATAGTATCTACTAAGTAAGGATAATACGATATGTCATAGTATCTACTAAGTAAAAATGTTAAGCATGGCAATATGAAAAATTCAAATAATTCATTTTCTTTGAACAAGATTAACTTTTTTGAGTAAAAACTAGATTCCTATTTTAATGTCAGAAATGTTAAAAAGTGAAAGACAAAAAAATAGGAAAAAATGCCCGTTGCCTTATCTATAATGAGATGCTTATGAACGTAATATAAAAATTGTTCCTGCTGATTTTAATTGGCCATAAAACCCCTAATAATCGTACCAAGTTTGATCTTTTAAAATGGCTAAATTCTGAGGATTAAAAAATACAAATATTTTAATTTTGCTCTTTGTTCTAGCGGCCCAACGAAGCAAACTGGTATGTATATAGGTTTCAATAAATCAATTTGTCCATAAAACTACGGTAACTACATGTACGTGCAATCTCTGGACACCCTGTATAAATTTAAAAAAATATTTATAATACGACGAATCCTAAAGAAAAAAAATTGTTTTTGTTAATTTAAAAAATCCAAAATATAGTATCAATCCATTTCTGCATTGAAAGTATTTAAAACTAATGTAAAAAGAGCATTGGGGACATAGAGGTCCTGCTGATATTAACTTGTAGAACTTTTGATACAACCCGTACAAATAAATAAACCCTATGCCTCTCTAACAACATATGCAAAAATAAAATTAAAAGCGTTTTGAAAAAATAGAATTTCCATTAAAACTTTTGGATTTACTTCTTTGGGACATCCTGTACACTTACACAAAAGTCTTTTTAAGAAACACATCTTTGTATGTTTTTAATAATAGCATTAAAAAATTAGAGAAACCGTTTAAAGCACAGAAACACATAGTAACTGTGTCATTTCCTTTAATTTAAATTGCAACTAAGTTAAATTAGAAATTTATAAAAAGTTCAAATCTGTCTAAAATTTTTTCAACCAAAATTAGACATCCTAGAAAGAATATATCAGCTTATCTACTATATACCAAGTGTATGGAAGATTGCGGAAATCATTATGATTCTGAATCATGGGAAACAATCGAAAAAACAATCAAACAAACAAACAAAATTATTTGAGAAGCTGCTATTAAAGATATGCAAAGTGATCATAGATAGAAAAATCTGATGTGTCCAACACATGACTTTCCTATCTAGTTATTATAGGCTTTTTCCGGTTATTTTGTACAACCTATTGCAGCATCTCTATAAATGTTTAGAGGATAAACTATATAAACTATATACATTATCCACATACATCTACCTCGAAACATTTTCCTATAGATATTCATTGAAAACGAAAATACAAAAAAATTTAAATTTAGCACACTTCCTCCAGTTTTTCCATTACGGTCCATTTTAGAAAAATCATATATAAACAAAAATTATAGAGATCGATATCGCAAACAACTTTTAGTTCAACAATTTTCATAAAAATCAGAATTTTGCACATTTTGACAAATTTATCTAATAATAATATTAGAAGTAACTTTCATTTGAATAATTTTCTTCTCCAAACATAAATAACAGACATATTCCATAAAATATAAAAACGGCCTCCCATAAAGTACCCCCTCAGATATTCCGACTTTGTCCAAAATCTAATCATTTTGCGTCAGGTTGAAATAAAACATAAGTTTAAAATTTAATGTTTTTTCTTTATCCGTTTTTGAGTTTTGTTCAAAATTCTAAATTTACACATTTTCTCAAATATCTCGAATACGGTCTATTTTAGGAAAATTTTGTAAAAAACAAAAATTATAGAAGTAACTTTTATTTAAACAGTTTTCTTCTCCAAACGTAAATAACAGATATATCCCATAAAATATAAAAATGACCACCTATAAAGTACCCCAAGATGTTGCGACTCTGTCCAAAAACTAACCAATTCATTGGACGATGGAACAAAGCTTAAGTTTGAAATTTGGTGTTTTTCTGTGTATCGGTTCATGAGTTATGCGACACACAGACATACACACAGACACATAGATACACACACAGACACACAGACATCATCGCGAAAACAGTAAAAATAGTTTCAGGGGACCTCAAAACGTAAAAATCCGTCGAAAATTTGAGGTCGAAAAAAATCATGATTCCTATACTTTCCTTATATCTGTATACAGATAGGAAAGTAAAAAGTATAATAAACGACCATCAATTCCACAATAGATCAAGTTCATAGGATTTCAAATCTAATAAAAAAAGGCTATTAAGAAAAAGATGTCTTCTCGGCATTGTTCTTCGATATCGCGCAGACGTTTGATAAAATCTGACATTTATAATAAAATTGGGATAAATGTTCCCAAAGCAGTATGTTCAAGTTCTGGAATCATACATAACAGATAGATTTTACAGAGTGAAACAAACTAAAGCAGGAGTACCACAAGGGAACGTCCTTAATTATGTCTTGTATTTACCATTTACCTACGATATACCAAAAAAGATAAATATCAAAATCGCTACGTTTGCTGATGACACTAATGTTTTAGCAATAGGAGCAAATGCAGATGAAGCCATTGAAAAGCTATAAAAAGCCACTAATGAATTTGGCAGATTGAATAAACAGTTGAGAATAAAATTAAATAAACATATATTTTTGAATATAAATTGCACAAATAAAAATAACCAAAATAGCCTATCTATTACGATTTACGGATTCCAGGTATTATGTAAAAATATGGCCAAATATCCATGAATGAATTTAGATGAAAAAATTATAAGTGAAATAGAAAAAAAATTACCTGCTAATTGGAAAAGATTAAATCGATCAGTACATAAGAAATTGCTTATCAAATAGTAAATCTTAACACCTATATGAACTTATTTATAGTGTACATCTTTAAATTATCGATATTATTCAAAAATTTTAAAATAAAAAAGTGCATGCAGGATTTATATAGAGATCTCAAGATAGAGACAATAAAAACAAAAATCCAAAGGTATGGCAAAACACACGAAGTTACATGTAATTGAGATCCTCGATTGAGCATGAAAGAGAAAAAAGATTGATGAGGACAAAATCTTCAAATTTTGTGTGTGCTATTTTAGTAAAAGTGTCAGTTTCATCACAAATAATGAAGAAAAGATATAAAGAAAATAGTTAGTACCTGAAAGACGCTAATGGATGATTTCTTATTTTTAAATTTTTCTTCATTTCAGATATAATTGTTGATCTATGTAGATCAGATGCACTATAACGCTTATTAAGAAAAGCTATTCTCCAAAAACTAATTAAATAGTTGCTAGAGGTGAAACAATATTATTAGTTGAAAGACGTACAAATTAAATCTGACCCACTTTGGAAACTGTACACTATAACTTTGTTAATTTAATTTGCAGATCAATTTAATTCATATTAATCATAAAAAGTGTTCTTAAAGTAATAGTTTGTAGTTTATTTCGCAATAAGTATTGTGAAACTTACCCTTAACGCAAATATAACCACCACCGCACAAAAACTGAACCGTACGTCGTACATGACGCGTTACGGAGGTTCCCAAAAACCAAAATGCGGTTAACTTTTGCAAAACTGATTCGTGTAAGGCTTTATAATTTATTCACCTCAAGATCCATTGCAGAATAGACACGTTTTTTCCACTTGTTTGTTTATTCAATAAATGTGTTTGACATTGAGATGGAATGCAGTTCATTTGAAAAAATGAACTTCGAAATATTTCTATTTTATAAAACAATGCACAATATCGGTTCCTTAATTAATACAAATAAACGATGAATGACTTGGTTGTGGAGTATCAAAAATGCAAACATGTTTTAAAAGAATCATCACATTTCAATTGCTGCATAAACAAATTCACTTTGAAATATTACACCTTACAGTTAAAAATATCAAATAAAAAGTTCTTCTAAAAAGAGATCATTTACAAATATCCGAAACAAGAGTACACCAAGAACCGGTCCGTGTGGTACATTCAACAGAAAGATATTTCACAACTATTTTCTCTGACATCTGGTTGAAAGAACGCTTGTTTAATCTCTCAACAGCTAATAGTATTAATAATAAGACAGATCACATTCTCGAATTCTATGAGTTTTGTGTGCCCAAACATTTTGATGAACGTTGTTACAACCAGCTGTTAGACTAATATGTGGTAAAATTAACTAATGTACCATGAATGAAAACTAAATTCCAAAATTTTGATAGTAGAACATTATCCAACAATTTGGATACAGGCAATTATATACAGGCTGATCATTAAGTAATAATAATAATGATTATTTCCAGCAGGAAATTAGCAATAAACTCAATATAGAAAATTTAATAAGTATGGTAAATTCAATACAGTAGATACAGAAACTAAAAATAAATAATGATAATAAATAGCCTATGGAGAAATGCGGAAGATCAGTTGGAAAATTAATTATCATTGAATGATAAGTTACTTATTTACCTCTTCTTTTCATCTTACGCGGAAGTAAGGAAAATTAAAAGAAAAAAGAGGGAACAGCACTTTTTGACAGGGGCGGATGGGACCCCTTGGACCGGCGCGGGAAGTCAATTAAAATGAAAAAGCATAAATTTGTATTTATTTTAATAATAAATAAAATTATTTTACAATAGTTGATAATTAAAAAACTCAATTTTTGCTTTCCTATCTGTATACAGATGAGGAAAGTGTAGGAATCATGATTTTTTTCGACCTCCAGTTTTCGACGGATTTTTACGTTTTGGGGTCCCCTGAATCCGTTTTGACTCTTTTCGGGATGATGTCTGTGTGTATGTCTGTGTGTGTGCCTGTATCCACCATAACTCATGAACCGATACAAAGAAAAACACCAAATTTTATTCTTGAGCTTTAATCCGGCGTCCAATGAACTAATTAGATTTTGGGCAGAGTCGGAACATCTGGGGGGTACTTTATAGGTGGTCATTTTTATATTTATGGAATATATCTGTAATTTACGTTTTGAGAAGAAAATTCTTTGAATAAAAGTTACTTACAATATTATTATCAATATTTCTTGTCCCATACAAAATTTTCCTAAAATGGTCCGTATTCGAGAAATTTGACAAAATGTAAAAAAATTAATTTTTTATAAAAATTGTTTAAATAAAAGTTGTTTGTAATATAATTTTCTATAATTTTTATATTATACATAATTTCTCTAAAATGGACCGTATTCGAGATATTTAAGAAAATGTGGAAATTTTGAATTTTGATGAAAACTCAAAAACAGATAAAGGAAAAAACATTAAATTTTAAACTTAAGTTTCATTTCGGCCTGACGTGAAATGGTTAGATTTTGGACAAAGTCGGAACATCTGGGGGGTACTTTATGAGAGGCCCTTTTTATATTTTATGGAATATATTTGTTATTTATGTTTAGAGAAGAAAATTGTTCAAATAAAAGTTACTTCTAATATTATTATCTATAATTTTTGCTTTATGTCAAATTTTTTTGAAAGGGTCCGTATTCGAGAAATTTGACAAAATGTGCAAAATTCTGATATTTAAGAAAATTGTTAAACTAAAAGTTGTTTGCGATATCAATCTCTATAATTTTTGTTTATACATGATTTTTCTAAAATGGACCGTATTGTAAAAATTGGAGTAAAAGTGCTAAATTTAAATTTTTCAGTATTTTCGTTTTCAATGAATACCTATAGAAAAATGTTTCGAGGTGGATGTATGTGCAAAATGTATATATTTAGTTTATCCTCTAATTATTTATAGAGGTGCTGAAATAGGTTGTACAAAATAACTGGAAAAAGCCTATAATACTAGATAGGAAAGTCACGTGTTGGACACATCAGATTTTTTACATAAAAAAAATTGTACAATTATTTTTATTTTGGTGTCTTATTATTAAGGTGAATTTGAATGTGGATAAAATTTTCCATATGGTTATCGAAACCACTAGTTAAGATAATTTTTTTTATTTACCACTTGCAGTTTTTCAAATTTTTATTCATCCTCTGGGCATTGTGATAAATAAGTCTAGCTTTCGAGTTTAAACTTACACATATGTTTGGACCCCTGAAGATTTTGTGGTAAATTTTTCATGTTCAATACAAATTTCTAATTTTGATGGCTGAGGCTCATAGATTTCAACAATGTACAGGGTACTTTGTTTGCAATAAGAATGATCATTAAAAATTGAGAAAAAATGAAAAAAAAAATAACAAACCAATATTATTTTAACACTGAATCAAAAACTATTTTGTAAATATTACTTACCATTGGCTTAAAACAGTATTAAGAACTGCATTTTTTTAAGACGCTTATTCCTAATTTTTTGGTTATGCTTAAAATGACTATTGCATAATAATTTCAATATATCACTAGAAATATCTGTGAGTGCTTTACTCTTTATTGCTGAGACCCATTTCCCCATCTTTGGAAAAGATGCTTAAATTCAAAAGGTAGTGAAATACATATCTAGGTGATTCAAAATCCAAGTGCAACAGCAACAGCCATTTTAAATTCTTGAAATTTGATTTTAAGTTTTGCACGAGTTGACAACTGACTTTGTCAAAACTGTCATCTTGTTAATTGGAGTGGTACTACATTACCTTCTTCATGTTTCTTCATTTGAGTTACCAGTTCCTGCAGCACAGTGAGCAATTTCTGCAACTCTTGCATTGCATATTGTTTTCTTTACCTGTTGATTACTGGTTGATTTCTATGAGTGGCATTTTTGTACTCGGACAATTACTCGACTCCTGCTGAGCGACAATTCTAGTACAAATTTATGCAAGCACGTTTCATATGCGTTGACTGTGGCGACGCGCTTGGCAACGAGCATAAATTAAAAATTAATTTCAATTTAGGCGATAACATCAAAAAACTAGTATCAATGAAAATTTGTAAATTTGTACACAAACTCGATATTTTGTCGAGAATTGTGAAAAATATCGAATTATGTACAAAGTTACAAAGCAGCAATACTCTAAGTTACAAAGCAGCAACACTCTTTCCTCGTCTGTTTTGTCTACTCAATTATTCCTGCAAAGGGGCAGAGGCCAGAGTCAGACAAACGCGGAGATATGAGATACCTCATAGTCTCATGACCCAACAATGCAACGTGGCATGAAACATTACATTTCTGTAGGTATGGGCGCTTTCGGCATGTACCTATATTTATGATTTATGATTATAATATATTCTGACTTATTCAATTCTTTTAAAACTTCAAATTGATAAAAAAAAACAAAGAGAAAAACCGCAGCGGCGCCTGTCGGCCTATCGGCCTGTAGCACGGCGTCTTTCGGTGTTAAAACCGGCGTCCACCGGCGCTTGCAAGACCGGCGTACCGGGAAATCTCCCAGTTTTCCGGTGGGCCTTTCCGCCCCTGTTTTTTGATAAATGCTTGGTTATATTATATTTCATAGACTGAATATAGTAAAGGTGGAGATTTCAGTAAAAACAGTTATAATTTCCTTAAACCCTGAGCCCTGAACTCTGAGCCCTAACTAATAAACTATTTAAATCTTTCCAATACCTACTAGATAATTATTTGGCTTTGCCGCGATTAACTAAAATTTTTGTTCCTTGTCAAAATTTTTGGATCGATAAATATTAAGCAATAGGTCAAGTGACAAATACCATAGTTTCTTCATCTGTAGTAAGAATACCTGAAACCGGTTAGTGAATTGGGAAGCTCTTTCTTAATGGGGTATCTTGATTTTACTGAGAATTATTGTAAACTCTGTGAATAAGATAGGGTTCGATTTGGGTCCGATAACAATAATTAGAAGAACCATTATTACCAAATTTCAAATAAATATTGTCTATAACTATCAATAAATAAAAAATAAGTAAGTTGTTAGGTATAAAACAATATTTCCTTTATTTCTATAATATTAACACCCCAGTAGGCGGCGATATCCAATTAATTAATTTGCCAAATGATGACGTAGCTGTGTTATTCTAATTTTAATCGGACTCTACCTACATTTGATTGTCCTATGTTTTTATCTAACTTTCTACGATAATGTACTAGTCTTGTTCTGAGTGTAAGTGGCAAGCATAGCGATAAGCACATTGTTCGGGCTTGGTTCGAGTCTACTTATGATATCTTTTTCTAACGTGATATTTATTAAATTACATAGTTTGTGGATTTTAGGATTTTTTCACACACCCACTTGTATATTATAAACTTTTAGCACAAACTACAGAACGAATTAATAGACGATATCAGTGTACCGAATAAATATAATTTAATACATATCCTCTAGTAAGGATATACAATCCACCAATCACAGCTCTCTTAACGAGATGAGACAGACATTTTCTCTCGAAAACAGATTCTAGACAAGAGAGTGTCTTCTTTCGACGAGAATGGGCGTGTTTAGTGAAATTCACTAGCCAGCAGAATATCTAATCTAAAAATAATTTTTGTCTTTTTAAATTTTCCTACAAGAATTTTTTAAAATTCCAAAAAATTCAGGCAAATTTGGAACGCGCGCCACAATGATTTTTAAACATCGTCATAATGAATCCTAAAATCTGATTGGCTAATTTATAACCTTCCAAATAGTAGTCCATATATTTTTACCTTGTTGCCGCTTCTTAT